TAGAGCGGCCGGAGCGAGGCCTGGGGCGGTCCCTAACCGCCCCAGGGGCCGGGCCGGCCGCGCTCGACGGAGCGCCGCGGTGTGCTCCCCCCCCCTCTCCTGGGTTATTGGGATTGTTTCTTCGGTAGTGTTACTGAATGCAAAATTGACCCTAGCGGTAGTCCGTGAAGTGCATTGTAGCTGGTTTTGATGCAGGTAATCGTGTAGCTCAAGGCCAGAAATGTGTAAGGAAAAATACACAACGGTAGACTGTGACAGAGCTTGTTGTCGCAAGCGCTGTTGCGTTGTTCTCCCCGCCGTGCTGGAGCGGCACAGGGCAGCCGAGGAGTCTGTTGGTATGTTTTAATGCTGCATGTCCCACACTGGTTCCTCCAGGGGCATGCCCGGCTCACCGGGAGCACTGCTGGTGGTGTATGGAAAATGGATTTCTGGTTAATGGACTTGGATTATTAAGGTTAAATGATTTCAATGTACTTAGAACCGACTTATCCAAAGTGCCCCAGCAAAGCCAGGAATAGAGCCTGGGCATAACATTACAACCCACAGCGCGATTCCTTAGTTTACACAGTTTCAGTAGTAAAGTTGATCCATACACTGTATTACCTGTGTAGGTTGAGAGCATTCCTCTGCTGACTTCTCTGCCTGAAACATCTCCTGTGGTGTCTGTCTCTCTCTCAATATTCTGATAAGTAGATTCCTATAAATAAATATACCATCTACTTGTTTCAAAGAATCGGGTGTGTTTTCTGCTGTACTGATGTGGAGCTTTTCTGAAATACAAGCCAGTGACTCTCAAAGCTTCAAAGCCTACTTTTTTTCTGATTGGAAGCAAATACAAAACAACCCAGCCTGAACTCCAGTTAAAAATGAGCTGCTACTGAAGATGATGTGGAAGTGTGGAGCTGAGTTTTGAAAGCGCTGGGGGCTTCAGGCAGCTCCCAGGGAAGTTACTGTGAGGCCAGGCTGATGAGGCGAGTAGGGGCTGGACTCAATAGTATTTCCATGGCTTCTCTCCAGGGATTGCTAAAGCTCTGAGGAGGAAGAGTAACAAAAGCTAATCGGAGTTCTGGCGGAAATGGTTTTCCCCTGGAATTTCCCTGGCACTGATAGATCTGCAGAGGACATCCAGATTTAGACAACTGTGCAAACTTGGAGATAAACCTGTTTTGTCACATTTTTCTTATATATTCTAAGGTGCTAAACACATAGTTTGGCTTTGAATATGCATCATGTAAGATACGTGTGGTGTTCTGCACCACAGAGCCATACACAAGTCACTTCAGATTCCAAGAGTGGGACAGATATTATTCGTGACAGCATGTACAGTAAGGATCGAGGGTACTCAAATACATCTATTGCGTAATGCTATATATGGAGTGCTTTGAACAAGTCTTGTGATTAATTGCAAGGATTAAGACATAAAGGAAATATTTTGATAAGTGAATTCAGGATCCTCAAAGTTTTCCCCTTAAGAGAAAATTTTGAACCACCTGAAAAATCAGATCCTGCAGGTGTAACTGTTCTTTAAAGTGACGGTGAAAGTAACATAGTTTGGTATTAGCTTTCTGTGTGACTTCTGAACAAAGCTGGTAACCTTGTTGAAGTAGAAAGATTTTTTTTTTTTCTACTTGTGTAATCTGTAAGATTAATCTGAATGAGAAAGTCAAATTATTTTGTCTTCTGTCTGTCATGGTTTAACCTCAGTCAGCAACTGAGCCCCACACAGCCACTCGCTCACTCCCTCCACCCCTGGTGGGA